ATGTTAATCCTAGTCCCAATGTCCCGTCATGTCGTTATCTCTGGATGCACTGAATTAAGGTCTTTGTTTAAGTAGACCACTCGGAGGACTCTGTTCTGCCAAAATTATTGCATGTCGGTTTTCGGTTGCCATCCAGCCCAACTCTGAGCTAGTTACTTTCTTGCTGTTTTACGTAATCCATTTCCTTTTTATGTTTGTTATTAGCCTCCGTGTTTAATACCGCGATTACTTAATAAATTGACGTCGTTTGAGGTGCAAACAGGTCTAATTGCCGAACGACAGCCCTCCCAGCACACCAGCTGTTCAGCGCCTATTTGTACTCTAAATATATTGTTCCTCATGGTTACTGAGAAGTAATATTGAAGCGTAATTATTATGGGTTGCATCGGGCACCGTTTACAATCGCATTCAACGTCAGAAGCGAGATTATGATGCGACAATGAGGATTATGACCCTGTAATTTCCTCCACGTCGCACGTGGCAGAGCAGTTATCGGAGCCCTAAATCTCAGAACGAAGCCCAGAATTTTCCACGAGTAGGCATTTCCTGAGTACAAGTTAATAAAGCGTGTAGAAGTAGCAGAAATAGCTGAAGTTCCGAAAGTGGCTCACACCACAGTGCGAAATACTTGAACTCTTAGTCCATCTTCTTAACAGTGAGGCTTGTGGCAGGTAACAAAAATCTTTGACTTCATTCTGTAAACATGCGTATGAATAGATAGCTTCTCTGTATCCCTTTCCATTCATTTTATTTTTGCATCTCCAATTTTAGGGCCGCAAATATTAAGAGGCATTAATCAGGGATAAGAAGTCTTTCCATATTGTTAACTTGCTTTTGCCGATTAAAGAAGACATCATTTTCTCTCAGACCGAGCACTCAGCTCAATGTCTGGCGGGAGGAAAGTCTTTTCTTAACCGGACAGATATCCGGTGGAAACTAGAGTAACCCACAAATCGGAAAGCAAAAAAATCATCTATGAATTTTATTCACCCGAAATATCTTCCTCAGGTAGCCCTCCATCTAGGGTTAAACAATCTTTCGCTCCGCCCCACGCTCTATCTGATCACAGGATGTCTGAGTTAAGTAGAATTTGTCATTTTAAAACCTCTCCAATAAACCGTGATGGCTTACAATTTGCAGCCCTTCTTACTAGACCGCTTTACCTTAAACGTGACGATTGGCCGTTTCAACAGCCAGAATTGACCTCCGAGGGACAGATTAGTGGTTACGTTCAAAAAACTGGGTCAACATAGGCGAACAGACAAGTTCGGGGAAGCAGTGTCACCCCTTCAATTAACCCAGACGAGGCGATGTTTGGGTTAATTAAAGAGGCGACACAAATCCAAGAATTACTGATGACCGGAGACTCCAACGCACTCATGGTCGACTGGAACTATCTAGTAGCAAATAGTTAACGAAATTCCTTTGATTCCGGGCTCTTGAAACTGACCACTAATCTGTTTCTGGTGCAGAAGGTCTCGTAGCCAACCAGGCTCAGAGAGGACAAAAGAGCAAATAGTCTGGACCACGTCCTTACAAAAGAGCCAATTAGTGCTGGAGAACTTCGGTCCATAGCGCCGCTTGGTAAGAGCGACCATGTCATACCGTTTTGGGAATGCCGCCTATGCAGCCAACAAATGGATACGACTGAGCCTTGGTTGAATTTCTAGCGAGGAAATTTTGCCGCCATGAGAAGGGAATTATCGATAGTGAACTGGCATGACGTTCTTGCTGGGGATCTAGATGTGGAGTGGAACACTCTCAAAGGGGTTGTAACCGACGTCATACATCGAAACTGCCCGAAAGAGAGTGTCAAAAAACCAATTTTCCTATATGGGTAGCGCGAGACATAAAGAAATAGGTAGACCGGAAGAAAAAACTACGGAGAAGGTACGCAACAAAAAACAAACTTCCATTACCAGCAGTTTCGCCGAAAGCGAAACGAGGTAAGCTCGACTATCTGCAGGTCGCGGAAGGAGTATGAAACACGAGTTATGGAACGGGCCGTCGATAAGCCAAAAGTGCTCCTCAGCTACATCAACAGCAGGTAAACGAACAAGGAGGCTGTCTCAAGGTTGAAAGTGGAAAACAGTCAAAAAACAATCGAAAACGACGATAAGGCAGAACATCTTAGCCGGTTTTTCGCATTTGTTTTCACCGAGAAAACGGACTTTGACGAGGATTGATTGTCTACTGGAACGACCGACGAAATAATGGAAAAAAATGACATCACGGAAGAAGAGATTGTCCGAAGAAAAACGGCTAGCCGAAGAGGCCCAATCCACTGAAAGACGTTAATTAAATGTCCCGAAACTTTTCTCCCGAAAAGTACGAACTCACAGAAAGACGCAGTATCCCAACCTTCGAGATGCTCTCGGGAATCATATATTTGTCGATTTTCCCACCCGAGGATCACACATGCTTGACGAAATTTTCTGTAGAAGCTGCATGCCTTCGTCAGTGTCCTCTCTAGGCCCACTCGGGGGATCAGACCGTGACATAGTTGCTTCAACGTTGAA